TAATTGCTGTCTTATTGTCATCAATAGATTCTTGGAAAGTAAACTTCAAGTGAAATAATATGTAACATGCTTTCATTCAACATTGACATGCATCTTTTTTTCTCATCAATGTTATAAAATGACATTGAATGAATTAATGTTATTTGAGGACATGCTGTTACACATATGCATATGTACTATGTATTATACTGTATATAAATATGCTCACATACATAGTTTCTACCATATGCCAGACAATAATCTAAGACTGGGTATACAGGAATACCAGGACAGAAAACATTCTGTTCCCATAGCAGTTCTAAATCCTCTGAAGTTATATGAGTGTAGCAAATACTATTCAGAGAATTAAACAAGGTGATGTGATAAGTATGTCGATCACGAGTTCAGCAAAACTGTCTCATTGAAGATGATATTTAAACCATGTATTATGAGAACACCAATAAAATAATAATAGAGTGAGGCGAAATCTCAGTAGACTTGTTAGTGCAGAAACCATCACCAGCAACATGTTTCAGGTATCAGAGCAACAGAGAAAAGAATATTGTGGGGGCATCTTAGTGAGTGAAAGTGTTCATATTAAATAGGTGAATGAGAACCAGTTCATGAAAGGCTCTGTGGTCCAGAACAAAGAGGTCTGGGATTATTCTAACTGCAATGAAAATAAATCCATATTTTTAAACATCAACATTGCTATGAAAATGATCATGGTGGTAGATAATGGATAATAGACAGGTTTTAAAAATATGCAATTGAGCTTAACCAATGAGGGCACTTTATACTATGATGCTAACAAGAAATAATAGAAAAAAGTTGATGGTCTCATTTGGTGACTGTGGGAAATGAAAGAGGATAAAACAAAGAGTAAGGGAAGAATGATAGGTCCTTGGTAATTCTGTTCATATCACAGGCAACAGTTCTGGGTGGTGGAGACTCAGCATTAAACAGTGTGATGGGAGAAAGGGTGCTGGAAATAAAGAGGGTTTTTCATCCATGTTCAAAAGTAAGTGATGCACGTGACGAAGTGATGATCATATTGCTAACATCCAATGTAAAGTGAAGGTTACCATATCATCTTTTTAAAAATAGTTTACTCAGAATAAAAATTAAAATACCCAAAACAAAAATGCCACACTAGAATCATCTTTTTCCTTATTCAAGTTAATAATTTGCAATCTTTCCATTTATAATCCAAATGCCATAAAATTCAATAATTATATCATTTAGAATTTTTATTTTTTCAAGATATTCTAATCAATATGTTTAAATTGCCTTTGACAAGTTGGTACCTATCTATTCAGATTCATTTCAGTTGTTCAGATTCCACTTCCAAATTCTCTACTATAGTTAAGAACATTCAATATGACAGCTTAGTTATAAATTCCCCTCTTGAATAATTACATTTTTCCCAAAGCTTACTATTTTGATAGTACATGGTAATGCCTTTAACATGTAAATAAATTGTTAGTTTGGGATGAAATGCAACCAGAAATATGGACCTTCTATTAAATAACTTTTGTTCTATAACTATTACGTATCAAAATTTCATTCTCCCTGTTATGTCTCCTTTCTGCAGAATTGTACCACATAGCGTATATGTCAAACATTCACCAGCTACTTAGCAGTTAAACTGTGTCTTGCAACTTAAAAAAGGTTTGGATTTACAGTGCTGATCTTATTTAAATAAATTCCTTATACTTCTTTCTTCTTCACTGTAAAATATGGTTTTATTTAGCTTTTTAGCTCTTAAAATATTTGAAATGAAATCTACTTTAAGAGTTGAATGCTTTGAAGAAATCATAATGCATTATATTCTTTTGCATAGAAATCAAGGAAAGATGGAAAAGGAGTCATTTTGCTACTATTTTTAAAGTGTGATTAAAAAGATAAAATGTAGAGTTGAGTTTGGGAAAATAAATATTTTAAGATGAAAAAGATGACTTTCTTTATGGATTTTCTCTGATGTTGTTGAAGGATGATTTAATGATAGTTTCCAGTAGGCAAAAAAAAAAATCCCTTTTATTAAATTACATGTTTCTTTGATTGACATTAAGCCATGATTTTCTTGCCAGTTCTGCCAGTCTTAACTAGGAGGTCCCTGTAGCAGAAGATTGTCCTATATAACTAGGTTAATGGTATTGCCCTCACCATTTCCCTGTCTTGCCCCATTACCTTTTTGAGCTATGCATCCCATCATCTCATGCCTCTGCTCTACATTTTCCAGAGGATTTTTTCACTGTTTTGATATAAAATACAACTTTTACCCATGTATATAATGTCTTATACATATCATTCATGCTTCCTTCCCAGTCACAACCCTCATCAGACCTCCTCCTATTTACTGCAGCACTGGAGACACTGTCAACATTTCTGTTACTCGGAAATAGGCTGGAGCCTGCCTTGTTCCCCCTTCTGTGTGAAACACTTGAACCCCCAGTTCTCTGTGTCAGACTTTTCCTTATTTAAGCAAATATGCAAGTTTCCATTAAAACATGTTAATTTTTAAAATTCACATTTATTCTTTTTTTAAAGATTTATTTATTTATGCATACAAGAACGGAGGTACCGGCCAGAGGTGCAGGGAGTGAGAGGATTCACCAGAGACAGAGTGGGGAACAAAAAAGGCAGATTGACTGAAATACACTGCTGAGGGGAGCAGTGGGAGAGTCAGGAGAGGTCGGCTGCGCCATGTGGGTACCTCCCTGGCTGGGAATCGAACTCATGCTGCAGCAGCGGCAGTTAGCTTCATAGGTTGTGTCTTAACCCCTTGCGCCACCGGGGAGGCCCCACATTTATTCTTTATCGCAATTTATTTGTTTCATGTATATCGCCACCTGAAGTCATTTGGTTTGAATTTTATACTTACTTCCATTTGAAATCATTATTTATTTATCTGTCCTATGTCGAAACATACTTGTACTAAATAAGTATCCAAAACAGTGTCTGGCGCATAGTGACAGAAAATATTTATTAAATCAATGAATGACAGATAGTTTGAGGAACATTAAAAGATTCCAATTCTAACAAAACTAAAAAAAATGAACTTTCATCATCTTCAGGTTATAAAAGTTAATGAAATGATCACAAGACACCCTTTCTCAAAACTACCAAGACAAACTTTTTAAAAAATGCTTATTGGTATGTTAATTGACTGCTATGAGGTAGATGACATCTGATCACCTAGGTAGTCTCACAAAAATCATGGAATCGAGAGAAGGAGAACATCCATTATGTTCTGGAATTTTAGGAAGTTTAGTTTTTCATTTAGACACAGTTCACTACATAGATGCGACTGCTCTGTGTGCTATAGAAGCTCCTGTCTCCCATCCTACAGGACCCCGCATATGGCCAATGTCTTAAGCACAGAATTTTTTTTCCTTTCATCTTAAGAGAAAGCACACTGTAATAGAGAGTCTTGCTTGGGAATGAAGCATGTCTCTGAGGTAAATATGATTTCCTTTACCAATAAAGAAATTGGGGCTTGGAGAGACCAACAGCTTCTTTAAGGTTCAAGGATTTGTCAGAACAAATTTTCTGACAAATATTCACTCTTTTTAATCATGTTTTAATCACTCTACCAGGTTTTACTGCCTCCTGAAATCCTTCTTTTATGTCTTATCCTGGTTTTCCTACAGACAAATCAAAAACAACACGGTTAAAAGCAAACTCATCATTTGTGCTCCTTTTCATATTTTTTTTCCCTTCTCAGAAAATGAAACTTGTTTATCTAGTGAATTATTCAGCACCTAAAAATCCAACCAGTTTACAAATCCTATGCATCTTGCTCTTTAAATAAGCCTTGTTTCTGTCATAATTTTGGCCTGGAGCCAGCCTTCATTCCCTTTACCACCCCTGCAGTTTAATCTTTTACTTTTATTTTTCTTTCCAGATTCTAACACAGAATTAGAACTGATCTCTGGCTTCCACTGTAGCACCTGTCCAAATTCTACTCTCATGGCTGACACTGACCTTGCTAAGAGAAATATTAATATTCATTTTCCCCTTAGAATACTATTATGACTTACAATAGTGTCTAGGATAGAGTACAAATGCTTTGGCTTAACTTTGAAAGTCCTTCATATTTAGGGACTTACCTTCTCTGCCCGAGCATCACACAACCACTGCTGCCTCCAGTCATGTTGCATTATGTGCAATTCCTAGAATATCTAATACAATGCTAAATTTCTGTTCTTTTACTCATGCCCTTTCAGCCTAAAGCCCATCTTCCCAGCTTCTAATCTTCTTTCAATTATCAGCTAAGTGTCTCTTCTTATAAGAAAGTTCCATGGACCTCTGAATTTGAGATTGAGGATATTTTTCTACTCCTATTCACCTTTGAATACCTATTTCTCAGTATTTATATAACTGAAATAAACCTTAAACTATGAGCTCTTATGGATGGTTCTTTTTCAATTGAATATCTCAAGATTCTAGATACTTAGCCCAGTTCCTACAGGTTCTTAATAAACATTGATTAAAAGCACTACAAAGTGGACCTCCCTGGTGGCACAAGGGATTAAGACGCAACGTACGAGGCTATCAGCAGCCACTGCAGCATGAGTTCGATCCCTGGCTAGCGAGGGAGCAATCCACATGGTGCAGCAGACCTCTCCTGACTCACCTCCTGCTCCTATCAGCAGTGTATTTCAGTCAATCTGCCTTTTCTGTTCCCCACTCCGTCTCTGGTGAATCCTCTCACCACCCCCTGCACTTCTGGCCTGTACTCCAGTTCTTGTATGCATAAATAAATAAATCTTTAAAAAATAATTTTAAAAATAAAAGCACTACAAAGTATGTAAATAGAAAAGTTATAGTTTTCCTTATTTCACAGTTTTGTTTGGGAACAGCCATACTAGGCACTTAAAAAAAGCAAAGTCACAGCATGAGACAATTATTCAATCTCTGTTAAATTCATTTATCATTGCAGTTACCTCTTTGTTTAAATGCTACTGGCTTCTGGGTACTCTACCACTGCTCCATTTTGTCCCTATGTTCTTCCTCAGAATTGAAGCTTCCTAAGTTTCATGTCTGCATCATCATAGAATGTCAGGAAAGCTGCAATTGAAGGCCTGATGTGATATTTGAAAGGATCCCACATCATCTCCTGACAGGTGTAGTAGTCGATGATTCACAACCTATTTGTAAATGTGCCGTGACAAATTTTATGGAAGTAATAAAATTTTAGTAATCCAAAACAGCTCCACCATGATCTCTGCTACTGGATATGTTTTCTTGGTGATAAGAAACCCAGGAAGAAGATATTAAAACTGCTATTTTAATGCGATTGGGGAAGGAGGAAGCCCTATTCAGATTTATGACATGATATTAAACAGACTGCAAATGAAAAAAATAAGAAAAGGTATATGAAATTGATTATTGTAAAACAGAAGCATAATGAAAAATTTGCTAATGGTTCTATGATGGAGTTTTTGTATCAAGGGTTTTCTTTTCACTGACAAATCGTTAAAATCAAAAATAAATAAAAGTGTGGCTATTCATGCAAAAGGAGAAAAAAAGGTAAATAACACATTTAAATAATTGAAAGTTCTTCTGGAAGGTTAAGGGGAGCAAAGTTCATAATCTTCACTTAATGAGTTTCTTTCCTCAGTTCAAGACCCAGAGAGATAAATGTGATAATTCTAGCCAATTACTTGAACATATCCTAAACTTTCCTCACCTTTACCACCTTCTAGCTATTCTTAAATCATGATATTTTTCCTTCTTTTTAAACCCCTTATAAAAACCAACAACTAATGTTGTTAATATACATTAGTGAATTATTTTAATGAATAGTAAGTTAGAAATAAATATTCCCCACAACACATTAAAAGGACATGAGTTCTATAATTAAAGAACTTCAAAAATCAGTAAAAATGTTTTCATTCTATTTGCAAAATATTAGCTCTGATTCTATGCCTTCTAGTCTAGAATTTATATGTGAATAAACAGAATTCCAAAATCAATATAAAAAAAATTCCAGCTACCCAATTTTCTCTAAATCTTCCAACTTCCTTTCATTATTAAAGTATCAGTTCTCATCTATGATCTATGCAAATGCAATGTATACCTCACACCCAGTGTAAAATATGTATCATGTTAAAAAATACCTTTTGTGATATATTTTCTCATTTTCCTATTTCATTAGCTCAACAATTCATATTGAATGGCAACTGGAAATGCATTTTGAGGAAACATTCAAAGAGAAACAAGGTAGCAAAAAGTACACTTTAGTTCCAAATCTGGAATATTTTTCCCTGTGATCCCATTGATGATTTTACATTGTGGACTTTAGATAACTTCTCTCATATAGAGAAATCTGAGGTGGATTTGGTGCTTCCAATATCTTGAAAAGGGGATAATATCATTCCATGCACTTCTTTCTTTCACATAGACCAGCATCAATACCTGACTTGATTTTCAATATAATCTAAATCCTACATGTGAAATAGGAAGAGAGGAAAGAAAATATTTCTATGATTAAAGGAAAACAGATTATCAATAACTAGCCCTACCATCTTTAATGAAAATATAAAATGTTTGAGGTCATATAGAAGAGATGAGGGGGACTGAACAAGGACAGCCATTGCTAAGTGTTCTATTCCTGATGCAGGATAATCCATTTCACTTACTTAAGTGATAAGTGTTTCTTATTTAAACCTCCCCCGAGGGCCTCCCCAGTGGTGCAGAGGTTGAGCGCTGGGCTGCAAAGCTACCCACATCCTCTGCAGCGGCAGTTCGATCCCCCGCCCCAGGGTCCCACATGGCTCGCAGACCTCTCCTGCTGCCCGCTGCTCCCCTCAGGAGTATACTTCGTCACTCTGCCTGCTCTGCTCCCCACTCTGGCTCTGGTGAATTATCTCACCCTTCCATATTCCTGGCTGTACACAGTGCTTGTATAAATAAGTCAATCAATCAAAAAATAAATTAATAAACCTCCCCCAAAATGCAATTTCTTTAACAGATACTCTACAGATCTCTGACCATTTGCATGGAATAAAGTTCTTTGCTGCCCCTACTGAGCTGTACTCCAAAAGAAAAAAATAAAAATGAATCAATGAATGCCACAGAAGAAACAGCAATTTTGTTCCTACTTCCTTCTTAATTCATTGATCAAGTAAACACAACTACTAAAGTCAAACATTTCTGTGACAATGTGTCATTAAAAGCTAAATACCTGGATATACACTGATGACTCAAAAAAGAATTTTCCAGAAATGCCTGGTCATGTTGAGAGACTGTTTAGTTGTTCTTGTTTTTCTCATTAAAACTTTCAAGGTGAGTGAATACGTGCTCCTAAAATATCACCATTTTAAATCTTGCTTGTTTGAAACATTTCACAGTCAGTCCATTGATACCGTCTTAACGGATACACAGCTGGAACTTTTCCCATATGATTCTAATGGCTTTTCCCCTTAATACTCTACCTCCTTCAGTTCCGCTTTTCTAGACAGCACAGCATACTGAGTGCTGATTTATACCAGGATACAGGCTGTTCTTGCCTTTTCTTTGTCCAGATTGTATGAAGGTCACAGTGAACAACAACTTCTCTCATGTACTTACGCAATATTACAGAAGCCAGGGCTTCTCTCAGCTTGAGTTTATTATTTGGAGATTTTGAGTTCTGACTTCTTTAGCTGCTTGATTTATTTTTTTAACTTCCCTTAAATTAAAAAAAAAAAAAAAAAACCTTCTGGTGACTCTATGTTTCACTATGTGTTTTCATCCAGTTTTTAGGTTTTATTTGCTTTTTGACATTGTCAATTGCCTGATATTAAGAAGAATGTAGATTTCAGTGAGTTTATCACTTTAAATAAATACCGTCTTTCTATTAAACACAACTCTAGGTATACATCCATCTGGATTTTACTACCCTTCTCTTTAAGAAACGTAAGTTCAGGTTTGGAAAAAATCTGCAAGCCTCGGTCACCATTTAACACTTGCATATCTAGAGTTCTGTCATTAATGTCCTATTACGGAGAATTCATTTCTTCACCAAGCTGCACTCCATTTCCCAAAGATTCCTATCTTAAAAGGTCTCTATGTTTTATCCAAAGTAAAACTAAACTGCTATTTTTTATTCACTATTAGAATACCCCTTTAGGGAAAGGCATGTTATAATTTATTGCCAATTAAAATCACTTATGTCAATTTATATAAGTTCTATGTTCCAGAATACAAGTAGAGTTTCCCAACCATGCTAGAGCATTACATCTATTTTGGTTACATATCAACCTTATCACATTTGACTTCATCTTTCTCAGAGACCTCTACCAAAGCACCTGATCAAGGCACTGTGAGAACATCGGTGAGACAATTTAATCAAGTTGTGGTGCAGATTAAGAAGTCTTCAAAAAAAGGGCAACTTGGGCCTCCCTGGTGGCATAGGGGTTGAAGTCTCAGTGCATTCAAGCTACCACCAACCACTGCGGCATGAGTTTGATCCCACCAGGGAACTAACATACATGGCACAGCAGACTTCTCCTGCCTTGCCCACTGTTCCCCTCAGCCGTGTATTTCAGTACACGGCTCCCCATTCTGTCTCTGGTGAATCCTCTCACCCCCCACAACTCTGGCCCGTGCCCCAGTTCTTGTATGCGTAAATGAATAAAAATAAATCTTTAAAAAAATAGACAACTTATGAGGAACTCTAATTTTCACTTGACAAAGAAAATCTGAGCAAGGAATGAAATAAACAAAAAAAGGGAAAAATTCCTTCCTACTCTTCAGACAACAATATGTGGTTTTTTTGTATATGTAGTAAGAAATAGGTAATTATAGTATGAAACACTACATGTCAATGAACTAGGTGTTAAATTATTGTTTAAATTTTTGTATATATCTTATAAAAATTAAATTCTGACCCTCACAATAGTTATTAATGAGTCATTACTCATACAATTACTAAATATAAAATCAAAGTATTTAGCCACAGAGTTTATTTCTATATACTGAGTATAAGAAATCTCAGGGAGAGCAAGTAACATAATTCACGCAGCATCGAGAGAACAGAGCTCATATGCTAATTTAAGTACTTCTGTAAAATTAATAACTAGAAAGTAAAACTAGCATGATGTCGTTGCTGTAAATAAAAAGGGATGCAAATTCCATTTTCATGAGCGCTAGGATAAGGTGAGGATGAGTGTAATTATTTTATTGAGAGGAAAAAAATAGGAAATCTTATTCCAAAACAATTTCTTGAGCACCATAGAATGTACCAGGTACTACTGTAGTCCCTCAGCAGAGATTATTGATAGATTGTCACTCCTCAGAGATGTGAAAGAGAGAAATTAAATAATTAACTGATGTTGAAAATTAGAAGGGAATAAAAAGCAGGGAATGTAGGTTGAGAAAGCTAGGTGGAAAGGAACTTTAGTTTTTAAATAAGATCATACAGCAAAAAATATCTGGGTACATGGGGCCTCCCAGGTGGCGCAGCGGTTGAGCACTGGGTTGCAAAGCTGCCCGCAGGCTCGGCAGCGCCGGTTCGATCCCCGGCTGCTGAGCGAGGGTCCCACATGGCTCGCAGACCTCTCCTGCCGCCCGCTGCTCCCCTCAGCAGTGTATTTCGTCCGTCTGCCTGTTCTGCTTCTGGCTCTGGTGAATTCTCTCACCCTCCCACGCTTCTTACTGTACCCAGTGCTTGTATAAATAAATAAATCTTAAAAAAAAAATATCTGGGTACCATTTGAGAGTGATGTTGGTGCAAGTCAAGCAAATATCTAGGACAATAGGATTTCATTTCAAACAGAACAATCAGTCAATATAAAGGCCGGATATTCCTGGGGGATTCAGGCAACTGCAGGAAAGCAACTGTATATTGAACATGATGATTAAGAAGCAAAATAATACTATGTGAGAGACATATTGATGGCCCCAATCATAGGGTTTTGTAGGTTTTTCAAAGGACTTTGGTTTCCACTTTGAGTGAGGTGAGAAGTCACTGAAGGATTTTAACAGAGAAGTGATATAATTTGACTTACATTTTAAGAGGATTATTCTGGCTGCTCTATTGAACTTAGATAGTAGGGGGACAACGTGAAAGTAGAATCAGCAAGAAAAATGAGAATGAAATTGCAAAAATCTATGTGAGTGATTGTAGTGTTTTGAAACAAAGCTGGTAAGAAAGAAGGTGTCAAAATACTGAAAACATTTGGAAGTTAAAAGATTAATGTAAATATATTGGAACGCTTTTGAAAATGAAAATAAAACCCATACAGGTCATTATTCCCTTTTTTTTTTTTTTAAGTAGAGGACACTGATTATATTTTGGGAAAACTGACTTTCAATAGCTTCTTTCTTTCTTAAACCACCATGACCAATTTCAGATACTTGTAGAGAGTCTTTCCAGATGCTTCTGTTTTGCTGTTGCTGCTGCTTCTGCTTTCATTGCCAAGGAGAGGGCTCCAACAGATGACCTTCAGGTTAAATGCAAATTGATTGGTACAGAGAGTAGTATGATCTTTAAAAAAGCCACAGCACCAGGAATCCAGATATATTTTTAATAATATCAGTGAGGCTCTCTTTGATCAAACGAAGAGCAAGTACATTGCCTCTACCTGTGGCCTAAGCAATATTTATAATATGCTGACTAGTGTCCTGGTATTGCTATAAAAATGTAATGGGTCAAACTAACCAATTCAAAAATATCAGGTAATATAAGAAATAAAAGAATATAATCTAATGCTTATAAAACTACACACTTTTATCAAAAGCAAGAATTTAGCCTCTTGTCCTTGTATAGGAATCACCAGGTTCATAGAACTCAACTTTTCCCTTTTTCTTTTGTTTGCGAGGCAGTGAAACATGCTTATTTGCTCCAAGTAGGAAAATATTTACTAATGCTTTCTGTTGGTGGTAACTGAAAAAATAAACATTATTTATAGTGTAACATTAACATAAATGAAAGAAGCCAATTGTAAACAATGAAATCTCGTGTTCTCTTTTTCTTTTTTAGCTGGGGGTTATAAACATATAATATTGCTTCTCATAGACAACCTTCTAAAATGTTCCCAATGACCCTCATGTGCTTGGCAATATTCATACTCTTGTGTTATTCTATCACCTTGAATGTGAGCAGGACCTACTGAATTGTGTGAATGAATGGAGGATGGCAAAAGTGAGGGGTTATCGCAGACCTACTGACTTCCAACTGACTTCCAACATGTTAGCATTTGTCTCTTGAATGGTACTCTTGAAGGGTGTTGTGAGAAGCTCTCTGGGTAAGCCCACATGATAAGTACTTATATAGGCCTCTTGTAAACAGCTCATGAGGAACTGAAGCTTCAGCCTGATAGTCCATGAGACCCTGAGTCTTCCAACAGCCGCTGACTAATATCTGTTAGTCAATGCTGCAATGTGATATTTCCAGAACTACAGGATCCAGAGAAGAATCCTGGATCTCTGAACCTGAAATTTATTTGATAACTATGAGATAATGAATGTATATAGTTTTAAACTGCTAAATTTTAAGTTCTTGTAAGGCAGAAATCAACAATCAATGCACAAACCATTTAGTCCATGGATTTATTTAGAACTGTCAAACAATAGTGAGTATTTTAAGAAGATCCTATTACATTAATGATAGATTTTTTTAAAGATTTCTTTATTTATGCACACAACAATGGGGGTGCAGGCCAGAGGTGTGGGGGATGAGAGGATTTACCAGAGACAGAGTGAGGAACAGAACAGGCAGATCTACTGAAATTCACTGCTGAGGGGAGCAGCAGGTGAGACAGCAGAAGTCTGCTGTGCCATGTGGGTAGCTCCCTGGCTGGCCCAGTATCGAACTTGTGTTGGAGAGGCTGCAGATAGTGTGCTTAACCCCTTGTGCTATCAGGGAGGCCCTCCTTAATGTCCTATTTTTTAATGCCGTACTTAAGATCTAATGATCAACAACAAAGATTGCAGCACCAAAGACAGACTTTTGAGAATAGTAAACCCAAGTGCATTAAGTTGAGGCAATGAGTCAGTCAGGAAAAAAAGAAAAAAACATATTCAGTAGATGAAATGTAAGCTATTGAATTCCATTTCATTTAATACCTATAGCTACATAATATAAACATAGCAGCAAGTATTAA